GCCAGAACATTCTCTTTTCTTTTCAATCAACGCTTACACGAAATCATGATTTGCTCATCAGATTCTAGACTCATTATATGATCATAAAATAAATCTTTGGATTTTATTTCATTATTTCACTAATTTATTTGATTTATTATGATTTAAATGAATAAAAATTCAAATAAATAAAAACAAATCTCATAAAAAAATAATGGACTTAAATATCTTAAATAAGTCCATGGATATGTTTGAGATCCAAAACCCACACCCATTGGTCCAAAAGATCCAATTTGCTCACATTGACTTTTGTGCATTTTCCTAAAATTGGTCAACTTTAGCAATGCATATCTTTCTCAATTTTAACCCTATAAGGGTGTTATTGGAATTTTTGGAGAGCTTAAGATGTCCTCTAAACAACCCTTTTGGTTTCATTTCAATTGGATCTTCCATGTCCATGTAAAGAGCTTTGATCCAAAAGGTATTTTTGTTGACTTTTTTAAAGGACCTATAATGTATGAGCTTGTATCTTTTGATTGAGGCATTTCTTGATCTTGAGAGCTGAAGAGAAGTTGTAGGGAATTGGATTCTCTTCAAAATGAGCCTCAGTGGAAAAATTTCTGATAAAGTATGAGAAAGTTATGCCTGGTCAAAGTTTGGTTGACTTTTCCTATAAAAACTCTAATTTGCCATTTTTGACTTTTGATGAGTTAGGAGCATTTCTTGAGGAATCATGATAAACCCTTTATCAAATGATGGATAATACTTCAAAGTGTTGATGTTTACCAAAAATATTGAAGTTTGACTGTATATAGGCCACAATTGACTTTTGACCTAGTATAGTTGATTTTTAGGCATTTGAGCAGTTGACTGAGCAAACTTGTAGTGCAAGGCATGAAACTTGGCATGGATGATCTTGAGGACATATTAGGGCCATGGAAAACATTTGGGACCTTTGGAGATTAACCATCTTGATGAGAAGTGAAACCCTAGTTAGAGTTTTATTGTCTTAAGAGGATAATTTGTCTGGTCAATTCTTAGTCATCCTAGGATAAGTTAGGGACCTTAATGGGCATGTGTTGAGTAAAATGAGAGGGCAAATTTTGGGGTACAACAACTATCCAAGCCAAAGAAGAATCAGCATATACAGAAGGGCCTGGAGTGCATTTTATTTCAAAGCCCCCTAATGAACAGGTACCCATAGAAAACAACAACCAAAGGCTCGACGCTATCTATGATGATGGACCTTTGGGATTTAAAAGGGATCCAATGGCCCCAAGCGCAAAAATGATGGCACAAGATCCCCTTGAAGAAGTTAATTTAGGAGAAGGAACTGAAAAAAGACCCACTTATATCAGCGCAAAGCTTGATCCGGAGGTAAAGAACAAAGTAATCCATATGTTGAAAGAATATAAAGACTATTTTGCTTGGGACTATAATGAAATGCCTGGGTTAAGCAGAGATCTAGTCGAACTGAAGCTGCCAATAGAGGATGACAAGAAGCCCATCAAGCAGACTCCCAGAAGGTTCACACCAGAAATACTATCAAAAATAAAGGAGGAAGTCAAAAGTCTCATTTGATACAACTTTATCAGAGGAACCAGGTATGTAGAATGAATTGCAAATATTGTTCATGTTATTAAAAAGAATGGATCCCTTAGGATTTGATAGACTTTCGTGATTTAAATGCTGCAAACCCCGAGGATGAATATCCAATTCTTATAGCAGAGATGTTAATTGATTCTATAGCGGGTTTCGAATACTTGAGTATGCTTGACGGATATTCACGATATAACCAAATTTTAATTGTCGATGAAGATGTGCCCAAAATAACCTTTCAATGCCCTAGGGAATTAGGCTCCTATGAATGGATAGTGATGCCTTTTGGACTAAAAAATGCTGGGGCAACTTACCAAAGGGTAATGAATTCCATCTTTTATGATTTCATAGAGACCTTTATGCAGGTTTATATTGATGACATTATCATCAAATCTGTGTCCCATGAGTTCCATTTGGATCATCTTCGACAGTCACTCGAAAGAATGAGGAAACATGGTTTGAAGATGAATCCCCTCAAGTGTACTTTCTTTGTGCAGGCAGGTGATTTTATGGGATTTGTAGTCCACAAGAAAGGGATAGAGATAAACCATAATAAAACAAAGGCAATTATGGAAGCGAAAGCGCCATCATCGAAAAATGAGTTGCAATCACTTCTAGTAAAAATAAACTTCTTAAGAAGATTTATTTATAATATGAGTGGTCGAACTCAAGCCTTCTCCCCTCTCTTACGCCTCAAACAAGGCAACTTTGAATGGAAAGAAGAACATCAATGAGCGTTTGATAATATCAAGCAATATTTGATACATCCTCCTATCCTCACACCTCCTTGTGGAAAGAAGCCCATGAGGCTATATATCAGCCTCAGAACTAACTATAGGAAGCATGTTAGCCCAAGAAGATGATAATGGTGTCGAAAGAGCCATTCATTACTTAAGTAGGGTGCTAAATGATGCTGAGACTATATATAATGCAATAGAAAAATTATGCCTTTGTTTGTATTTCTCTTGTACCAAATTAAAATATTATATAAAACCCGTTGATGTTTATGTTTCATCATATTTTGATGTTATTAAACACATGCTATCAAAGTCAATCCTGCACAGTCGAATTGGCAAATGGGCTTTAGCCCTTACTGAGTATTCCTTGGCTTTCTTGCCTTTAAAAGCAATGAAGGGTCAAGTGGTCTCAAATTTAATTATGGACCATGCAGTGGTCGAAAACCCTCAAAACTGTGTTGAGTTGAAACTTTGGAAACTATTTTTCGATGGTTCTACCCATAAAGAAGGTAGTGGAGTTAGAATCTTGATTATTTCTCCTGAAGGAATTCCAACAAGACTAAGTATAAGATCAAAGGCCCTCTCTGTTCGAAGAATGAGGCAGAATATGAAGCGTTAATTGCTGGACTCGAAGCTTTGTTGGAATTGGGGGCAACAAGAGTTGAAATCAACGGAGACTCTGAATTAGTGATCAACCAAATAACAAAGAAATACAAATGTATAAAAGAAAATTTGATCATATACTTTGTTATTGCCAATAGATTGCTCAAAAGATTCGAGTACGTGGGTATTAAACACATTCCCAGGGTTAAAAATCAGGAAGCAAATGACTTGGCACAAATAGCTTCAGGATATAAAGTATCAACCGAAAGTTTAGAAGATCTTATCAAAGTAAGAGGAAAAGCAATGGGTGTCAGGTTATCCCCATATGATTTGGAGAGTTCAAAATTAGGATACGCTAACAAAGAAGAATTCGAAGTATTAGCTATTAATGCTCTAACAGATACAGATTGGCGTAGCCCAATCATAAATTATCTTAAAGATCCTTCGATAGTTACAGAAACGAAAGTGTGAAGATGAAGATGAAGTGTTTATAAAAGACTTATAGTGGTTGAGAAATTTACACTATAACAAGTTAGTGAGACACATGTGCTTCTGTTATAAGAAGAGAAAGATGTTGTTTTTTCTTGGGAACTGTTTTCATAAGTGGTAATGATGAACTGCTATATGCACGTCTGAATAGACGTTTGGAAAAATGTGGTTATTTTTTATGACGTCACAACAGTAAAAGGTTATCATGAGTATATGGTTTATCGAAATTCAAGATTATTACTAAAAAATGACTATTTCTCTACATAACGAAATACACATTTTGAGGGGCAATTTGTTGGTTTGAAATTTTGATCACAACAGTTGTTTGAACGCATTAATATTGTTTTTGGTGTTTGGGCTTTGTTTGAATTGGATTGAGTAAAAGCCCAAGCGTTTGAAATGGTTCGATGGACAGACAAAACGAATATAATAAATATTCGTTAAGTATATTTTGAAATCGAAAGTTTTTGGATATATACGTCGAAAACTTGGCGCCAACAGAAGAAAGGAATTTGAATTTGAAATCGAATGTTTGAGTCATAGAAGACGCGTGGAAGCATGATGGGTTCGAAGGACATGCAATCTTCGAACGTAGCACTCTATTATAGAAAGACCGTTAGGGTCAAATTAGTATAAATATGGATCTTAATGTTAGGATTCAGAAGGTGTTCATTTTGTACAAATTACTCAATATACTCGAAGTACCAAGTGTTAGAGAAAAGAGTTGCAGAAAATGTACGTATAGACAACATTATTGTTCTTTTCGAATAATTTTACTTTATCAATATCAAGTCTTTTAACATTTCCAGTATTTCTTCTACTTTTTAGTCAAAACTTTTACTTTCTCAAGTCATTTACATTTATTCTGCATTTCCTTTACGTTTCTTTATGTTTCCAGTCGAAACCTTTACATTACTCATTCAAAACCCTTTTATTCGAACTTACTTTAAATTATAATTCTAATCTTTATATTGTTATCAACAAAATAATGTTAAACATGAATCCCATCACAAATTTAATCTTAGAAACTTAGACACATGTCCTAGGATCAATCTAATCGATTCTACAAGTTACCAAAATATTTAGTTTGGAGGACTAGCAATTGTTTATCAAATTCACGTGTAAACAACCGCCTCCCTATCTTAAAGGCCTATGTCAACGTGAATGACCTCCATAAAGAAACGTTTTAATGACAAGACAAGTATTTAATGCACGTGTTCCCAAGACCACTTACCCTATTCAAGTGTCTCTCCTTTGCTCGAAGAGCTCTTGTGATTGTCGCGAACAAAACTTTCTTGAAGCTGATCTCAACAACTCTACAACAACAATTTTAGTTTCACATTCAATAGCAAAGATCGACCAAATGTGAAAATACAAACAAATTGCCAATAATCCCTTAACTCAGCTAACAATTGTCAATTGAGCTACCCCACCCACCCCTATATATATATTGATTATTTAATGAATTTAAAATCAACTTTTTCTTATATTGACAATCAGAGGTAGCAACAAACTCTGGTTGTGGGTTGAAACGCTGTACTATTTTGCATACAAACGCTAAACCAAATTTGTAGCATTTTCCTGGGTTGAGCAATGGCCGGAAAACAAGTCAGCGGCGAGGTTTTACCGGTGAACCTCGCCGGAATGTCAAAGAATCAGCTTTACGATATCATGTCTCAGATGAAGGTAACAACATTGCATACTCTTTTTCACTCTCCACGGTTCAATTATCACGTGCTATTGCTAAACCTAACATTTTCGATTTTTGTTTCCGATTCAGAATCTGATCGAACAGAACCAGAAACAAGCGAGGCAGATCCTCATTCAAAACCCTATGTTGACAAAATCACTTTTTCAGGTTTTTATGCTTTTCCAATTTCTTATACAAGTTCTTAATGGATTGCATTGCATAAGATAAAACCCTAAATTGAATTTTCTAGTGATTAGATGTAGAGCTGTTATTATCCCCTAGCGCTGTAGGCTTCAGTCATCATAAGATAAAACCCTAAATTCAATTTTATGAAAGTTCTTCTTTCAATTGGAAGCAAGGAGTGCTATTGTGGTATCATTTTAAGGGGATTATTATTTCTACATTACATGTTGGAGCAGTAGTAAGGTGCTCATGACAATTAGCTTTGAAGTGGCTTTGGTTTAAATATAAATTAGTGTGAGCTTCCATGAATTTTTTTACCTGAACTATTCATGTATCATAATTTCACCACCAAATGTTATAGAAATCAAAATGACTTTTGCCCTTGGGGATTTAATTCCAGACTATTTACTCCATGTTCTCAAAACCCATAACAGTCAAGTAATTGCTTATATTGCTTGTTAGATGAATTTCCATAGCTATAGGGTCACAAGGATTTTAGAAGCTCATTATCACTCCCAATGGCAACAACTCCCTAGTTTGTTTGTTTCAATTTTAACAATGCTTTAAGCCTGTCTGTGAGTAACAATAGGCTTCCAAAATTAGGAAATTCCTAATATTCAAAGTAAAAGATGATTTGCAAAATTAATGATGCTTCTTTTGCTAAATTCTTATGCATGAAGTATACAAGCTATGTGAATTGACTTCAATGTTATACAGTTATAGGTATGAGAATGTTTTATGTTGATCTTTTTCCTGCAGAACTGCCCTTTGTGTTGTAGTAAGTTTTGGCTTGTAATCGGGATTATGTTTGATCTGCTTACATGTTTTGGCTTGTAATTGGGTTTATGTTTGATCTGTTTAGAAGTTTTGGCTTGTAATTGGCTTTATTTTTTATCCGTTTAGAAGTTTTGGCTTGTAGTTGGGATTATGTCTGATCTGTTTAGAAGTTTTGCCTTTACTAATAACTAATAATTATACAGTACTACTAAGTGGTAACTTGGTAGTGTTAAGTCACAAGTTTAATTCCTGTCTATTGTATGCATTAGTTAGGTACTGGATTTTATACTCATTACCTTTTCAATCTCCTCTTCAGTTTAATATTGATTTACTGAATGCAACATGTTTTATTTAAGTACTGCACAAAGTACAATTCCACATGACTTTTTCGCCAAAAAAGAATAAAACATTCTCATGTTTTCAAGGGATGAAAAAGTGAAAATTCCTTTCCTCATGCTAACATTTATTTGCTGTCCAATACAGTGATAACAAAACAAAAAAATCAACCTGCCTCTATCTTTTCATACTTTTGCTTAGAACCCTATGTTGTTTTACAACCCAGTATCGTTTGAGACTGCACTAGCAGAGACAATCTCTCACAAAAACCCATAGCCAACCTTAAGACAGCATATTCTCCATCAACCCAATCCAAACCTTCTTTTGGCAGATTAATAGAGACACTGTAGTACACTAAGCAGGCTAAAAAAGGACCAGCCCAAAAAACCCAATGTCCATTCCATACAGACGCTCCGTGAAGCAGTGCCGGGCCTAAGCATCTTGCTGGGTTCAGTCCAACCCCAGCATATCCAGCATGTCCAGTTACAGTTATAGACACAAATACTGCTAGTGCCATGGAGCCTGCTAGCTCATGATTCTGAACATGCACAGATAATTTCCCCGCTCGTCCTTCAGTTTGCATTGTTTGACCATTCTCTATCGAAACCCTGAAACTAGGTGGGTTTTCAATAGGTTTCAAAAAGTGGCAATTTTTGGCTGCAATTTTTTTTCAGATCTGCCACCACCTAGTAATATTTGAATTGGAATATGACCAATTTATCCTGCAAATCGAATAGTCCCCCCACACCTGTACCACCTCCTTTTATGGCATTCATGGATAGGTGAAGGTCATTCGTAATGATACTCTAAGTCTGTTTTTCCAAGTCAGTTGGTTCAGGGTCTGTTTGTTTGGGCACTTGTTTGAGTAAGAAAACTTTTCTTCACAGAAATAACATAGTCCTTTGTCTCTCCTAAGTTGAATTTCTGCCGCAGACATCATCTTAATGGGTCTGGTTTTGTGTATTTTTGGGTCAGCAGTTTGCTAGTAGATGTTGGCAATATTGGCGGTAAATTGGATTTCTGTAAGTGTGGTGTTTGTTCTGATTTGAGTGGGTTATTGGAGAATTTCTGGTATGGTTGGTCTGTGTTTGTTGATGCTGTACTTTTGGTGAAGTCTGTTTGGTGTTTGGTTTTGGTTATGGCATGGTATTTTTTTTTCAAAAAAATTGGTCAGAGCCACCGCACGTACCGTCGTGTTTAGTGAAAGGGATTTAACATCATGATGAATATCCTCTTGTAAGCCCCTCAAGCAACAATCCAGCAGTGATTTGTTGATCACTCCCTCAGAGCGATTGGCCAGGGATGTGAATTTGAAGTAGTATTACGCTACCATTCCGTTTTTGATCAATTTAAACTGTGCAGCACGGAGGCAGTCATACGGTGATGGTCTGAAATCCAATTCAAGAGCTCTAGTAAATTTCCTCCACAATTGGAACCAAGGAACAATCTCTTGATGCAATTGAGCTGAGGCAACAGTTAATCTCTCCACATCGGGAGTGTTATGATACTAAAAATATTGCTATGCCTTTATAATCCATCCGATGACATTCTTTCCATCAAAATGAGGGAAATTGAGTTTAATGTACCTTACCTGAAAAGCAGGGTATGATGCCTCTTCAGTTGAATTCACAGAGAGCTATGGTTGGAGGTGGATGAGCTTGGGATTTCTGTAACAGGAGCAAAATGACTTCATTGAGTTTATCTAACATTGCTTCTGGGCATGTGGTCACTGTTACCTTGCGATCAGACCAAGCTTGGTGGCCAACTTCCAGTCGCCGAATTTGAGCTTGCAGATCTGCATAATTCTTCTCCTTTGTTTCTGCCTACTTCCACATTCAGCTCCTTCAATCGTGTGTTCTCCGCCATGACTGGAATGGAAGCACCAATGTAGCAGTAGTAAATGGATAAGCAATGGTATAAATGGAATGCTGGTTCTTTTGTATTAATAACCTTCACTCTCGGCAGTGAAAAACTAAGGAAAAGTACCCAGAAATTGAGATAGGAATGTCAGAGAAGAGAATCAGAGGAGAGAGAAGAAAATTAGAGGAAAGAGAAGAGATGCTCACACACATTTCCCCATTTCACAATTTATCCCCTATCATATAATCTGCAAGTAACTTGTTGGCCGTTCTGACACACATTCCTTTCCCTTTCCTCCACCTTAGCTGCTGACTCACCCACCACACGTGGCACTTCTGTTACAGTTTAGTTGTATTCTTTGCACGTTTTGTGCCTAGCTCAGAGCTTATTAATTCATTTTTTTAAAGAAAAATTACCACATTCAATTTTCTTATATGGTGGTTTATACAAATTGAAATCATTCTTTACTCGTTAGTGAGCATTCAAATCATTTGAAACTTCTAATAGTTCACTTCTTGATGCCACTGACTATGTAGTTATTGAGTTTGATTATTAAATCATGAGAATTTGCTTTATGCTTAGACCTCATGACACTACTTGAAAAAGCAAAACTTTCTTTCTACACATGAAGATTTATTTAGGCTGTCCCATTTCACACATGATGTTTCTATCTATTTCACCAATGTTCTTTGAGTTGGATTTGTCCCTCTGAAGTTAGATTTTACTTTAGACGGTAAAGTATGACATATCAACTATTGATGAAATTTTAACACATCTATAATTGGTTATACATCTGTATGGTTATATCTACAGTTGATTTATTTTTATCAATAATTAGATTCTTTACTTGACCCCCTAAAGTGAATTGCACGCTTTGGAAGAGTAGATATCATATGAGTTCTATAGGTATAATTAAGATTTCAAATCTGTCTGCAGTCTTGTTTTTTGTACTATTTCATTTAAATAGTATTTCATGGGCTTCAGTCTCCTTAGTTATTTGCTTAACTTTGAGATTTTTCTCCATTTTGTTTTGCAATAATCAGGCACAAATCATGCTTGGAATGGTGCAGTCGCCACAAGCGGTATTTCTCTCAATATTTTGATGTCATTTTTCACAACCTTCCTTTTGTAGAAATTTACATGTTAAGTAATGTTTGTTTCTAGGTCCCGAAAGTTCAGCCAGTGGTTCCGCAGAACAGTCAGCTGACAATACAGCCAACACAACAGCCAGTCGTTCAGCCCGCCCCATTATTGCCTGGGAAGGGTGGCACACAGGATCAAGCAGGTGTATCTCACACTCATATTCCTCCGAGGAAACACCAAAACCAGCCTTCAGTGCCAGTTTCGTATTCGACTGTTCCTGCAACGAGTCATCTGTCTCAGCCCATGGCTGCACATTCTATGCAGATGCCACAACAGCCCAAAGGACATCTGACTCCGCAAGTGGCTCCGGCAACTGTTCCACAATCATCACAACTTCCAAAGATACCTCCACCCTCTGTTCATTCATCTTCACAGCCACATCATCCAACACAAATGCCAACTGCCTCTAATCAGCAACCGTTGCAGACACCTGGATTTCCGCATATGCCTATGCAGCCACCACTGCCACCACAGCTCAGACCACCTTCAGTGCAAACCTTCCATCCCCAATATCCCCCACAAATGGGTGCAAACTTAGGCTTTCAACATGCTGGTGGTGCTTCTCACAATCATCCGCAACCCATGTATCATGTAAGCCAAATATCCGTGTTTACAATTTATGATCTAATGACATGTTGAACTATAACAGTATTTGTTGATGAAATTTTCAGCCTGGTGCAAAACCTCCTTCTAATGTTGGATCTGCGTTCCCACTGGGGCAGGCACCACTACAAAATCCACAATCATCTCAGTCACCTTATCAGGTATGTCAAGATAGAAAATACAACTGATAGTTAAGATTTGAAAACTGCTTTGGTACCATGAGTTAGTGATTTGGCTCCGGGGCATCAAATGGCTTTAGTAATGCTTTCCCGTTGCCATCATGGGTTTATGACTCGTTACTTCATTGATTGTTGAAACATGAAACCATAGTTATCTATCTCGAGTTACAGCTCTCGGTAGCTGATTCCAATAACACTATAGTGGGGTGTCAAAAATATGTATGCAAGATAATAATCTATACTGTGTTTGTGTATATCTATTTTGTTAAAAGTGGCAAATAGCACCGCAACTGTTGTGGTGGGTGGGTGTCCATGGAAAATAGGGACTGCTGCAGCTGATATTTTCCCCAAAGAAAATGGAGGTAAATATGGTTTTTTTTTACATGTGAAGAATATCACCTGCATCAGTACCTAGTTTCTGAGATAGGGGCCACAATCACTTCCACGACTGAAAAATGTAAGGCTATGAAGTCTTATAGCAGCCAGGCTCTGCTCTGCTGCCATATTGCACCGATGAATACAATGGCTGAAAGCCAAAAGTTGAAACCAATTAATAACAGAAGAGAAAAATGTACACCATTTATTCCGGACAAATTTATCATTTGCCCATTTGACTTTCACAATTGAGCTCATCAGTTTTGTTTAATTAACTAGTGTGCTGGTATTTGCCTAAAACCAAGTTGATTTTGGTGATTCAACTGAAAGAAGCAAACCTAAGTAAAATGATTTGAAAAGCCGAATCAGTCATGATGATGTTTAACAATACTTCGTGCTTGATAGTAATTGGTTATTCAGGTGCTAAGTCATGCTTGTATGTTAGGTTGGAAATATGCCTTTCGGGTCTGATTTTGGCAGTCAAGCTGGAAATGCAATGCAAATTGATAGAGGGTCTTCTTGGATGCCTGGTCCTTCAGAAAATCTATCACAGCATTCTGGTCCTCCGGGACCACCATCTATGGTTGCTGGTCAGATGGGTGCTGCTAATCAGTCTCTTCGGCCTCCTGCGGTAATCATTGTAAATTAGCATTATTCTCATGAAATTGTTCTGCAGTCTATTGATGTTCTCTCCTTTGTTAATGCAGTTGACCCCAGATATGGAGAAGGCATTGCTTCAGCAGGTCATGAGTCTCACACCAGAGCAGATAAATCTTCTGCCTCCGGAACAAAGAAATCAAGTGTTGCAACTGCAGCTAATGTTGCGTAAATGATGCAATAGAAAAACACACCGGAAGACCCAATCCTCTTATTTAGCATAGATTCTTCTATTATCAATGTTCGAAGTGGTTGTCCGCGATGAGGTTTTGTAGGTGATACAAAAATTGTGTAACAGATTATAACCACATTATTTTCTGGATGTTATTTTTATGAAGAAAAATTTAGATTAGAGGTTGGACACTTTCATACAAGGTCAAGGATAAATCCTAAACCTAATATCTAATTGAAGATTTTTAATAGAATTTACTTATTATGAAGTTCCCTGTCGGCATAAACATTAGCTTTGTTGCAACAAATACCAAAAATGTTATTTTCATTTAAAACTCAAATGAAGCTATTGTAGAATGCTGTTGAAAGCATGAAAATGAAGGTCGTTAAGAGTTGATATCTGATACCCTCTCCTAAATAGAGCAAGTAACAAGTGAGGAAAATTTCTCCTCCTGCTCCCTACTTTTTCAAAAGCTTTTCCAATTTTAACCCGTTCGTATGAATAACTTATAAGAATGCCAACTTTTTATACTAGACTTTAAATTTTTTAATGATTTTTTTCACTTTAGAATTGGCTTATCTGGTTTAAAAAGTTCTATTCAATTTTTTATGACTTTTTCACTCTTTGATTTGGAAGTGTAAAATTTCATTTTCAAAACTTTTACACTGTGATTGACCAATCAATATGTAAAATGTTCATTTCAAAGAGGATTTTATGATTTAAAATAAAGACACCCTTGCAGAACAAGACCGAAATTTAGTATGTGAAGTTTGAAATTTAGCTGAAGAAAATTTCCACAGCCCCTTCATACTAACTATGCTAAAGGTATGTTTGTTTAAGTTTTTTTTTTTTAATGATTAAGTTTTTTTAAATGATTTTTTAATGTTAATTATTTTTGTTAAAGAATAATTTATAAATATATTTTTTTAAAACTTTAAATAAAAAATTGGTTTAGATAGTTTTTATACAGATAACCCTAGACTTTTTAAATGATTTTTTAATGCTAATTATTTTTGTTAAAGAATTTATAAATATTTTTTTTTAAATTTTAAATAAAAAATTGATTTAATAATTTTTATTTATACAGATAACCCTAAATTTTTTTTAAATAACAAGATATTGAAAAAATAATATACCAATAACCACCTTTTAGAAAAAATGTCACAAATAATCATAATTCTGCAATTTTTTTTTTTGGTTTAATGTGTCTTTTAATCCTTTAATTTAATTTAATTTATATTTTATTTTAATCCAGTATTTAATAAACATTACGTTTTAATTCTTTAAAAACTATTTCATTAAGCTACTTAATCCATTCCCTTAAGTTAAAACTTTAAATATTTTAAATAAAATAATATGGTTGAGTGTCCATGATAGATATTTTTAAGGAATTTTACACTTTTAAATCTTAAAGGTCTACTCATTTTAATGATACACCATCAACATCTAATATTTTCTACCTATCTTTCTTCCTCCTTCATCTTCAGCTTCATCCAAGATCCAGAAATAACAGAAAAAAATAAAATTCTAAAACCAGTAAATCTAAATCTCTCAAATTGCAGAAAAAATAAAATTAAACATTACAATAAAAAGAACACAACAATTTAACCACTTCAAAATCAAAATAGAAATTAATCTCACAAATAAAATGAGATTATCTTCAACTTTCAAGAGATTTACAATTAAATCATCGACACTCTTACTGATTAAGCCCATTTGAGAGAATATTTTGCAGATCTTGACAATTTGTTTTTCATTAGATAAGAATGAGATTTTCCAATTTTGCACAGAACTGTTATTTGCAAATGACATAAATGAGACACATGTTGATAAGAATAGGTGCTGGGTTTAAATAGTATCTGATTTGATATGATTTGAAGTTAAACTACTTCAAACAATAATGCTATAATATTGTTTCCCCATACGAGTAAAACTGCTGAGTTGAGGTTGTGTGATTCATAATGTAAGATTAAAAAAACCTATAAACCGTTATCTAGTTTTAGAATAATTTTGATTTTATTGTAATGTTTAATTTTTTTTTTTGTTGCAATTAGAGAGATTTAGATTTACTAGTTTTAGAATTTTATTTTTTTTAATTTTTTTTGAGTTTTCTATGAAGATTTATAAATATGGTGATGAAGATGAAAGAACGAGAAGAAGATGAAGATAGGCAGAAGATTTCTTGTATTGATGTTATACCTTCATAATTAATAGACCGTCAAGACTTAAAGGTGTAAAATTTGTTAAAAAGATCAAATGATTAAAATTGAAAAAAATAATAAAGTGTAGGGTGTGAACACTCAACAATATTGTCTTAGCTTATATATTTAAGATTAAAAGTTAACAAAATAGATTAAATCAATTAACAGAATAGTTCTTAAGAGATTAAAATATAACGTTTATTAAAATAAAAAAACTAAAATAAAATCTTAAATTAAGTTCCGGGATCGTTGATACCAATTAAGCTTATTATTTTTATTTTATTTATTTTTTTATAATTAAACAATAGAAAAAAAACTTTGATTTTTAACAATAATGAAACGATTATATAATGGGAATAAAAATTACATATTATTTAGTTGTCGTCCAGGAGTCGATAGCGACTAGTAGTTTCGCACCTGCGTTCTCGCCTAACTCATTGTGTGACTCTACGATTCTCCTGTTGTGGTTGGATCGAGGGTCCTGCGAAGTCAATGCGTTAAGGGCCCATGAAATCCGTCAGATCACCATTTCTGAAGACCCGCTTTGAAACAGTCGGTTACCTGTGCCCTTAAAGTTTGTCGTATTGGTGGGGAGTGGGGTTCCATGGGTGGTCGATAACACTGGTCGTCTGAATAAGCGGGGGTAAAAAATGAAATGAATCTGTGTGGAGTTTGGTATCCATATGTTTGTTAGGTGCTAATGGTGATGTGATGATTGATGGTATGTTGGGTCGATTGAGGAATATTCTTCAGGTAAGGCCCATGTCTGGGCTAAGGTGAGATGATGAGGGACCCACATCGAGATGTCATATGTATGGTCTGGTCTCTGTTCTTGGTACTATGATTGCGTTTGGGGCATGTCTGTGTGTTGGTCTTGGGATTAAGGCTGGGTGCTTGTGGATTTGTAACGACGTTGTGTTGGTTAGGAGGTTGATGTGTTTTGGGTTTGTTGTTGGGTGGTGTATGATTGTTGGTAGTGTTGTTGGGCATTTGAGGACAATGCAACTCGTGTGCGTGGGTCGGACCAAATACCTTGGGTTAGATATAAATATTTCAAGGTTTAGAGTAACAGATCTGTATAAAATCAAATATTAGTCTGTGTATCGCATTTCATGGTGTCGGGGGGGGTGGGGGGGGGGGGGGGGGGGGGGGGGGGGGGGGTTAAACA